CACCAGAAAGGGCTGGTGAGATAGCTCAGCAGACTAAGCACCTGCTTTGGCAAGCCCAGGGACCAGGGTTCAATTTTGGTCCCACATGTTGCACTGGCCCTGCCCCCCCAGGGCACACTGAACCAGCAACCGAGTCCAGGCGTGGTGGTACACACATGTAATCCCAGCGCTGAGGAGGCTGAAAACAGGAGGATCACTATGAGTCTGAGCTACATAGTGACACCCTGTACCAAATACATAAATGAAAAAAAAATACCATCTCATAAACAAATTTGAAATTCTCAATGAGCCAAAATGATGAAAACACATTTTCTAAAATTATGAAAAAAAATGTTTTTGAGACAGGGTCTTGCAACGTAATTCAGGCTGGCCTCCAAGTGTCTATGTAGCTCAGAATGACCTAAAACTTGCAGCGATCCTCCTGCCTCACTTCCTGTGTGCTGGAATTATAGCCATGTGCCACAATGCCTGGCTGAATTATGAAATGTCAAGGAATGTAAAATGCAGAGGTTCTAAACACAAAGTTTTAGCAAGCCATCGGACAACAGTGTGCAAAGAAAGGGACTGAGGCTGAAGGCTATTCTAGAAAATGGCTTCACATCCATGGGTAATGCCAGAGCCAGAGGCTTCCTGCCTGTAGATTAAGGATGTTAGCTAGGCATTGATCTGACCCACTTCATTTGTCTTTGGCTCTATTCTTTGCCTCATGGCAGTGAATTTTCTAAGTTTCTTTCCTATTGGGAAAAGCAAATTTCTGTTCACGTTTATCTGAAACTTGGTATGAGAGCCTTTTATTGGGATTGTGGGAAAGTAATCCACCCCTGTGGCCCCACTCTGTCCCCCAATACATTTTTGACTCACAGACTGTGGCCATGTTCCCTTAGCCTTTATTTTCTGGACAGTCACAGTATGTTTAGTGTATCAGCCCTGTAGTAGTTCCTGACTGTCTTGTGGCTGGTGATGTCTTGAAGGTGCAGAGGTGGGATTGGGGGACTGTGCCCCCAAGTCTTACCACGACCTTTCCCTGGGCCCACTATTGCTAGATGGTGCTTGTGGGCAATGCCCAGCTTGGGGCCAGCGTGGCCTGGCAATGCACTCATACCCATGGAGCACTGACCCCCAGGATGCCTCTGGGGCTGCACCGGGAGTGAAAGTCTCAGCACCTGGTCACAGCTGACATCTTCCCTTCATGGATAGTGATTTCCACCTTTAATTTCCATTCTTGGCAGCCTGATATATTTTAGTTCATTCCTGCTGGTTTCTGTTTTCCTTCCCAGGGGAACAAAGTCATGTGTAAACATAAATAGGTCCCTGGGTCCTCTCTCTGTGTGAATACATAGAGAAATTCAACAATACTGCCCCCAGGTCAGCTGCAGTCCTACCTAGGACAGCTCTCTACCCACAGAACTGTGGCTGATCACACACACTGCTGGGCCAGCTTGGGAGCTGGGAACAGGCATTCCAGAGTCTGCCTTTAGGAGTAGAAACCTGCATGCTAATTCGTGTGTGACGGCACAGACACACTTGGTCCATTCTGTGTACACCACCTTGATTTTTCATGTCCATCACAGAAAAAGTGATTAAAAATAAAGTGTAAGAGAAACTCAGAAGAAGAAGAATCACAGCTGTGCAGTCTTGTTCCATTGCTGTCTGGTGCCCGGGAAGCAGTAGATGCTCCTCATCTCTGCACCTTATCGCCCTTCCTCAGCAGTGGGGGGCTGCAGGTGAGCGAAGCTCAGGAAGACTTGTTCCAGTGAGATCTGGCTCACTGAGTAGTCGTCCACTCCATACTTCTCCTTGGCTTTCTCCAGGACACCAAAAACCTTCAGAAGCAGAAGCCACTGGTAAGAGAACCCGGAGCCTATTCTCCTTGGCTGGGTCAGAAAGTCCTCTGACTCCAAGGTCCCACACCTGCCCAACTCCACCCCAGGTCCATCCTATAAAGTCAGCTGAGTTTCCAGGGAGCTCACTATGAAGATCAGCAAAGCTTCCTCCTGACTCTTATTTCCAGCTCAGAGTATGACACTGGGCAAACTGCCTCTTCTCTGAGCCACTTTTTTTGGGGGGGGAGGGGACACTAAATTATTTCCAACTCAATAAAAGGTAATTTTGCCCTGAAAGAGCCTGGGATTATGGTAAAAGGGGAGACTCCCCCAAAAAAGGGGGGAGGGGAGACTCCTGGAGGGACCCTCCCAAATCCCTGCTAGCACCCAGCAAGGGTCAAGTTTTTGCTCACCTTTGCCCAGCTCAGGTTGTGGCCAGGCAGGTGATAGTGGACCATGCCTTGGTGTTCATCTTCCAGGACGCTGCCTACACAAAGAAGAGACCTGTAAAGGCCATGCTGGAGCAGTGGGGTAGGTAGCCTGACACACAGGATCATGGGCCAGGTCCCAGGGGTCAGGGATGTGGGATTTGAGGTGAGGTACAGACTCTGCATAGCAGATGACAGAGGCTCAGGCAGACCTCCAGGGCCTACCCTTGGAGGCTTTCAGGGCCAGCACACACCTGGGAAGGTCAGGTCCACAAATGCCTTGAATTTCTCTAGTGCTTCCTGCTGACCATCAGTCCGGACCTTGGCCTGCAGGGAGTAGCCACTGCCAAACTTGCTCTTGAGGTGCTGAGGGCTGCCCAGGCACTTGAACTGACCCTGTACCATGATGGCCAGTCGGGTGCACAAGGCCTCACATTCCTCCATGCTGGGGAGAAGAGTGGAGGCCTGAGACAGGGCTGGAGGAAACTCATGCCCACTCTCAGTATGCAATAGTTGTGTAGACAGATGGCTATTAATGCCCAGATCAGACTGTTCCTGAGTCCCATGCTGAGTGTGGCCCATGTGATGAACCTGGGAAATCTGACAGGCTTTGCGCCAGCTGCTGACAGGTCTTTCCTCCACACACCCCTCATTTGTTCCTCAACCCCTACTTAGGCTCTTCCACTGACCCACAGACACCCAGGTGCTACCTGTGGGAGGTGATGACAATGGCCTTGCCAGACTCTCGGGCCCGGGCCACAGTGTCCCATAGCAGGCGCCGGGCTACGGGGTCCATGCCAGTAGATGGCTCGTCCAGGAAGATGACTGCAGGCTCACCGATGAGGGCAATGCCAGTGCTCAGCTTGCGCTTATTCCCACCACTAGGGGTAAAGGGGTACCAGGTAGGCCGATAATTAGCATGAGCTCCCCAGGTCCCAGCAGAGGCCTATGCCTAGTGAGCTCAGAGTACCCAGGTGAGAGGAGGGAGGTGAAGCCCATCACATAAAACCAGAGTCCCCAGAAACAGACATGGATCTATACCACGTAGGGCAGGACCTATCTATCTGCACCCAGGGGGTCAACAGGGACCCAGCATCACTCACTGGCTGACTTTGTCTTTAGGTGGCAGGAATCATCCGTGGCTTCTCATCTGACATCTGGGTCATGCTAACCAAACTCCTGCTTGATCCTGAGGCATGGTGGAAAGCCCTGTCTACTGACCTATTTTGTCAAGTCACTCCAGCTCTATGCTAAGAAAGAGCCTTACTCTACGTTGGGAAGGACTGGGCCCCATCTTTTCACTGGAGTGGAGTTTGGCTGATACCGTACCTGTATGATCTGACCAGCTTGTTGGCATGTGGCTCCAGAAGCAAGCCTCGAAGTGTATTCTCTACACAGGCACCAATGAGGCGTTCAGGGATGCCCCGCAGACGTGCGTACATGACCAGCATTTCCCGGCCAGTCATGTGGTCCAGCAGAGCATCAAACTGTGGGCAGTAGCCCATCCTCTGCCGCACCTGGGTGAGGACAGCACCAAGAGGGGTAGATTGGAGTGAGGTCTGGAGTGAGGTCCCTTGACAGAGGACCACAGAAACCACCTGCCAGGCTGCCTGCTTCTGAGCCTTCCAGAGAGCCCATATAGGCTGGACCACAAAGCTGGTGCCCAGGACATGCCAGCTACTCACAGTGGGAGCTTTCCTAGCAGCATTTCTGTAGGGTCACAGAAAGGACCTGGAAGGATCAGGGAGGCTCCAAGAGAGGCCCCAAAGAGGCCAACAGGTATCTAGCCTGGGGCTCTTTGGTCCACAACAAGCAGCCGCATGGGCAGGTTGGCTCAAGAATCATTATACACAGTGATCATAACACAAAACTAAATATAGCTGATCACTTGTTCATTGATCCCCTCAATGTTTAAACTACATCTTACATGCACTGGGGCTTTCTAATAAGAGGTGCTTATGGGCAGTACCTCTGTGGGGAGGTAACTGTTGAATGGCACAGCAGTTGGTCTCTGTGTGACTGCTGGCTTCCAGAGCTGGGGTGCAGTGGGGCATGGGGGCTCCTATGCTGCTTGTTGCCTCACTACCTTCACCAGCAGGCAAAGGCAAGCCCCTTTCTCCTTCTTCCTTTTTGCCTCAGCCTCCTAAGTGCTGGGATTTCAGGTTTATGCCACTATTCTGGGCCTGAAGCATTTGTTTTTTTTTAAGGTTCTAGGCTGGCCTTGAATTCACTATGTAGCCCAGGCTGGCCTCAAATTTTTTCAGGGATCCTCCTACCTCAGCTTTCTGAGTGTTGGGATTACAGGTGTATGCCATCACACTAGGCTAGAGGCTGCTTTTTAATTGTGGTGTGTGTGTGTGTGTGTGTGTGTGTGTGTGTGTGCGTGCGCGCACGCGCGCTGCTAGATACTGAACCCAGGAACTCAGAGATGCTAGGCAGGTACTCTACCACTGATCTATAGCCTTAGCCCTATAATCTATTTTTAATCATTCTGGAAAAGCCTGTCATTACTTCTTCCACTATTACCTCTCCCTTATTCTCTTCTTTTCTTCTAGAACTTGACTAAACATACTTAGCACTTCCTTTTTCCTCTATGTCCAGATTACACTGTACATAGTTTTTTTCTCTCCTATATATATTTCCAATTATTATTATTTTTTGTGCTAGAGATTGAATACAGGGTCTTTGCACTGAGCTATATCACCTGTCCTTTTTTTTAAATTTTAAGAAAGGGTCTCATTAAATTGCCCAGGCTGGCCTTGAACTAACAATCTTCCTTCCTCAGCCTTATATAGTGGTGGGTCTACAGGCACATACTACCACACCCAGCTTCTTTCTTTCTCCCTCTCCCTCTCCCTCTCCCTCTCCCTCTCCCTCTCCTTCTTCCCTCTTCCCTTTCCCTTTCCCCTCCCCCCTCTCCTCTCCTCTTCTTCCTCCCTCTCCCTGCTCCTTCTCCTTCTCCTTTTTTTTCTTCAGTTTTTGAGACCAGGTCTCACTGTATAGTCCAGGCTGGTCTTGAACTCATAGAGAATTTTTTTGTTTCAGACCCCCAAGTGCTGGGATTACACGTATGTGCCACCACACTCAGCTATTTCTTTCATTATTACTATTTGTAGTAGTAGTTGTGGTGGTGGTGTTTTTTTGAGACCAACTTAAGTTGGCCTTGAGTTTATTATGCAGCCCATGCTGATCTCAAACTCATGGCAGTCCTCCTGCCTCAGCCTCACCAGTGCTGAAATTACAGACATGTGCCACCATGGCTGACCATTTCCTTTTTTACAATTAATTAATTAAATATTTGGTACAGGGTCTCATTATGCAGCTCAAACTCATAGCGATCTTCCTGTCCCAGCCTCCTCAGCACTGGGATTACAGGCATGTGCCACCATGCCTGGTTTTGATGGCCAGCATGGCACACTGGTTTCTGGGGCCCACATGGCATGGGGTACTGGAGGTCAAACCTGGGTCTTTGTGCTTTCCAGGCAGGCACTTAGATCACTGAGCTATCTCCCCAGTTCCCATTTATTTCTTTAAACACAGGGAATAATTAAATTTAAAGCCCCCGAACAAGGCCCTCTTCCAGAGAAGACCTATAAGCAATCTGGCCCCCGAGGTCCACAACTGAGAAGCTGTGTTGCTAGTTTTGGAGAAAATTCTCTGGCCATTTGTTAGGCACAGAGCCTTCCCTTTCCTCCTCTGATTGACACATGGGGACCTTCTGTGCTTTATCCAAGGGTCAGGGAACAGGAGGACTGGCCCTAGTCCAGCCTCACCTTGTGGGCTTCAGTCAAGTTAAGGAAAATTCAGTGGGATCCAGCCCTTCCTTTCTGTCCTTTTCACTCAATAAGCCTCTAAACCCATTTCCACATTGGCTGGATACAGAGTAGCTCTGGACTGAAAGCAGTTCCCTTAGCACTGGCCATATCTCTCTGGCCCCTGTTTATTTGTTCCCTATCTCCTCCCACCTACTTAGCCCTGATCCCTGCTGTCTTGTCCTGATGTGCTGTGCTCACTACAGACAGAAAACAGCCCATTCCTACCTCCAGGGCACCTCCTGCTTTGCCCACTCTACCCCCGCAGGCCCTCCCTGTGATACCTACCTTTCCAATGTCAGAGCTGATGCTGTGACCCCCAACGAAGGCATCCCCTGAGGTGATCGTCTCCTCTCCAGTTAGCATTTTGAATGTTGTAGTCTTTCCAGCTCCATTGAAACCCAGGAGACCAAAGCATTCTCCTTTCTGGACTGCGAGAGAGATCCTGTCTACAGCAATGAAGGGTGCCTGCTGTTCATACACCTGTGGGGTGCCCAGCAGGAAATACCAAGTGAGGAGGCCGAGTACCCTACCCTTAGTCCCTGCCAACTCCAGGCTCAGGACCTGCTGGTTGGCTGTGTGGCCCCGTGGAGGGCAGGGCCTCTGTTACCTTGGAGAGCTCCTTGATGATTAGAGGTGTGTCAAGCAGAGAGTCCAAGCTGGGAGTCAGGACTCGGCTCCTCTCTTGTGCCACGTCGAGGTCCTCAGGAACCACTGATATCCGGCTGTGCAATTCTGTCTAATTGTTTGAAACAAATACATGTGAATCCCAACCTCATGGGAGGAAGGGCAAGGACTGCAATGGACATGTTACATTGATAGGACGGACTAAATCCTGTGAGCCATCTCACCTCAGTCCAGGCCCCATATGACCACTAAGGACCTTTACAAGAAAAGGTGGATGGGCATAGGGGCTATAATCAACATCTAGGAAACAAATTATCCAGTACTATAAGAACTGCCAAGATTCATAAAGAAAATGATACATTCTGCTGAGGAATGTGAGGGAAAATTTTATGCTTTTTGAAATGAGGGCTTACTTAAGTTGCCCAGGCTGGGGCATGTGATCCTTCTGCCTTAGGTTTCTGAGTAGCTGGCACAGAAGACGGTAATACATTGAGAGAACTACTTTTTAGAGAAATGTTAATATTTTAGAGAACTCAATTGGCCACACATTAATCTGTGTATCTAATATGATCTCAGCAGATTTTATTTAGGAATATGAGGGAGCAGGTGGAGACATGATGTATATGTGAAAAATACAAATGTATGAGCCTACTGTGCTGGCACACACCTGTAATACTAACTCTCTAGGAAGGTGAGGCAGCATGATTACAAACTCAGGGTCAGCCTGGGAAATTTAGCATTTAATAAGACCATGTCTTAAAAAAAAAAAAAAAAAAAGCTGGGTATGTAATTTAATACAAAGGTTCTGGGTTTAATCCCAGTACAAAAACAAGTATGTAGAAATGTGCGGAGCACCCCTGTGTGGCCCTGTTGCCTCCCCTGCTTAGAAGGGGACCTTGGCCTATAGGCCAACTCTGGCAACAGGAGCATAGGACTCAAGGTAACCCTTATGAGGGGTGAGAGCTATGACCCTTCTGGGCCATAAGTACTAACAGTGCACTAGGAGGTTGTGTATAATTGTGTAACAGGGCTATGTGGGGAGATGAGCTGCTAAGTAGAGCTCGAGGAGGCCCTTTGCATTCTAGACACCAGCAGGAAAATTGGGAGAGTGTGGCCAGGGCCTCTGAGCTGCTGAGGAGCACTCACCAGCATCCACCTCCTCCAGAAGGCACAGATGAAGGTCCTCAGTCTCCACAGTATGTTGGTTTCAATGAGGAAGAGCAAGGTGAGGTAGACACACCCTGAGGTGGCCATGGAGGTCACAAACCTGCCGACCCCAGGAGTGCTCCAGGCGTAGAAGTTCTCCTGATACTCAATGTCTGTGCAGGGCAGAGAGCCAGTCTGGGACCTCCAGCCAAATGCTCTCCTCCCTCCCTCCTGGGTTCCAGCCCAGGCTTCCCCCAACAAATAACTGAGCCCCAACCCTCCCCATTCCTCTCCCAAAGATGTGTCCTATTGCTGTCGGTGCTATGTGGAAGCCTCAGCTATCTTCCTTTTGCTATGTGAAGAGCCCCTTGTACACCGGTGATGAGGTCATATCCTCATTCATGGCTCACACCTACTACCTCAAGGAATGATGGCTGAGATGTGATATATACATTGTGTCCCTTTGTGAAGTGCAGTCGAGGAGACTGGCCCATGATAAGCAGCAGGTACTATGGTGATGCTCAGCAGCACAGTGGGCACTGGGCCTAGAGTGGGCAGGGGGCCAGAGTTGACCTCAAAACACCTTGGAGACCACTGCAGGTACAGACAGAACCCCAGAGACAGGCTCAAGTGTTAACCCCCTATGGCTTTGCTTAAGGGTAGGATCTTTAAAGATGTGATTAGTTAAGGCTCCTAAGGTATAATTCTGGATTTAGGGTGGGCCCTGAATTCAATGACAAGTGTCCTGTTCTGACAGAAAGATAGGATGAACCCTGTCTCCAAGAAACAAACCAACCAACCAAAAAAGAGGCTGGGTATGAAGCTTAATATGAAGGCCTTGGGTTCAATTCTTAGTATGTAGGGGGACAAAAAGAAGGAAGGAAAGCAGGACACAGAAGGAGATGATACAAAGATGAAATGATGTTGCCCAATTGAGAAACCTCTGGAGTTTGGGAAGCTGAGAGACAGGAAGACCACTCCCCTGAACCTTTAGAGGGAGCCTGGCCATGGCCACACCCTTACTTTGGACCTTAGGAAAGGATACATGTCTGTCCATTAAACCATGGGCTGTAGTTCTCTGTTCCAGAGTCACAGGACACCGGGACAGGTACACAGAGCACAAGCACAGAGACAGGCCTGGGATATGTGGTAGCAGTGTGGACTACAGAGGTGGGCAGGCAGATGGACACAAGGCCAGAATGAATAAGAGGAACCCCACTTTGGTTTGGGTGTGGCTTCAGTGTCCTCTGAGGGGTATGTATTAACACTGAGTTCCCACTGTGAGGTGTTAAAGAGGGTAGAAATCTAGCGTTTAGAGCACCAGATGTGGGCACTTGTCCTTGAAGGGCCATGAGGCAAAAGAAGCTTCTCTGCTCTAATCTGCTGTACCTGTGGTATTGTGAACTGACAGCAGAAACACCCCTTTGCTGGGGGAGTCTGGAGCAAAGTGGTACTCTGGGGCACAGCTCAGAGGAAGGGACTACTACTACAGGGAGTGGTTGGGCACTCACTATATTTCTTGCAGTACTGGGTGGCAACCTTTGAAGAAGTGCAATATCGCCGTGTCTCATAGTTCTCATAGAAGCTGCTCACTGCCATTCCTAGGCAGTGGTTGGGCAGCACCAGGAACACATGATCCAGGGTTCTGGAAAGTTCTTCTAACTTCAAGGCTGTGGTGAGGAGGTGCAGACCAGTCAGTACTGCAGGACGTATCACACCTGGCCAAAGACAGATCCAGGGCGAGGGTGGTCTTCATGTACTCACCTGGGATGCGCATGATAGTGACTATGAGGAAAGTGGCAATGCCGGACAGAATATTGAATATGGTCAGCCTGCTGTAGGCAGTGGATGCACCAGAGAAGAAGAAACTCAGGAGGTACATGAGGGGGACAATGGCCCAGCCGTAGAGCATGAGCAGCAGCAGCATGTCGGCTGCATGGCCATCCTGCGTGAAGGCACGTATATCGAAGGCCCGGAATACCACCTGTAGCAATACAGAGGAAATAACTTGGTGCATGACGAGTGGACAGCCCCCAGGAGGATACAGGGGATTGTATAATCATTCAATGATCCTTAGGCCCTGACCAATCAGCCAGGCCAGGGCCCTTGGCCCCATGGTGGCTTTTGGTTCTGAGACCCTCTCTGATCAGCTGTTTTCACTTTTCTCCTTGGCTGGAATCTCCTTGTCCTGGTATCGCTAGAACCAAACCAGCTGGTTCACTCCAGGCCCTGCCTACCCAAGAGGGGTAGGAATAAGCTATGAAGAACAGATAAGGCAAGAACCTCCAGTTTCCTACTGTTATCCTAGAATCAGGGGTCTTTGAAGATATAATTAGTGAAGCCTGTTAAGGTGCAATTCTAGATTCTGGAGAAAAAGGGAGCAGCCTCTATTGGTTTTGGTTCCACATAGAGGTCCCCTGGGCAAATCCTGGTTATCTGTAGGTCAAGGTCCAGCACTGTCCAGCACTTACCAGCAGCAGCAGAATGGGGATGAGAAAGGAGATGAGATCCCATAGCAGAGCAGAGAGCCAAAACGTAGCCACACGGATACCACTCACAAACTGGACATGTTTGGCCTGGACAGCCCTCTCGCTGACTGCCAGTATGGAGAATGTGCTAGCCAAGAACGCCATGGCAAAGAGCAAATTGAGGGCAATGTCAAGTCCCTTTCGGCCCCTAGGAAAGACAAAGCAGCATGTCTAGATGACAGTAAAGATTGGGCTGTCAGATTATTATTTTCCAAAACATGCAATGTGGTAGCCAGAATATTCGGGGGGGGGGGTGTCAGGAGAACCAGAAAATCCCCATTGCTAAGGAAGGCTCCTCTGGATGTCATGTTCTGACAGAGGGCAGCATCCCCTTCCCAAGCTCCATGTGTCCCCAAGCCACATATCTACAAATTTAGGGTTAGTACCTGCTGTTGGTCTTTCTGTTTGTTGCCTGGGAATTCCTGCCATGCTTTCTCCGCATTACCCCAGTTCAGATTCCATTGTTGGATGCCTGAATTACTAGAGTAGCCAATTACTACAGTAGCCTTCCCTGTACATTCTGTATTCTGAATCCAGTTGATGACAACACCTCCCAGATACAGGTTCTAACATTATTTTGTGGCTTAAAGACATCCAAATTGTCTTTTTTTTTTTTTTTTTTTTTTCAGAACTGGAGATTGAACTCAGGCCCTTGCGCTTGCCAAGGAAGCGCTTATTCTACTGAGCTATCTCCCCGGCCCCCTAATTGTCTATAAACAATTACTTCTAGGACAGAGAATATTATCTGGCAGGAGGATGAAGAAGATGGGGTAGGAGGAAGAAGAGAGAGAGACAAAGAGGAGGTAGAGGAGTTCGAGAAAAGAAAAAGAAAGGAATAAATGATGCAGGCACCTGGATGAACCTTGAGAATACCATGGCAACTGAGAGCAGCAAGACCCAAATGGTCATATGGTGTTTGATTATATGTTTACAAAACATCCAGGATAGGCACTCCATAGAGGCAAAGATTTACACTTGCTACACATGCTAGGGGCTGGGAGAGTCAGGGGTGGATGTTAAGGGGTACAGATTTCTTTTGGGGTGATGAGACAGCCAATAAAAGTCTACATAGAAGTGAGGGTGCCTACTTCTGTGAATACACCAACAAGCAAACAATGGCACAATTTGTGTGTGTGGAGGTGACTATGGATGTGTGAATATTTCTTCTTCCATCTTTTTCCAGTACTGGAGATTGAACCTAAGGCTTTCACACTGGGCTACATCTCCACTCCCTCTCCCTTTTAAAATATTATTTTGCGACATCTCACCAAGTTGGTAAGTTGACAAGGCTGGGTTTGAATTGGCAATCTTTCTGCCTCAGCCTTCAAAAATGCTGAAATTATTTGCATATAACCACCATATCTAATGGCATGCTATTTCTTAAAACTGTGAGATAAGTATTCTCCTGCCTGGTCCAATGTCGCTACAGTAAGCCTTAACCTCTCAGCTTGATTTTTGGGTATGGTTTGGAGCCCTGGAGGGGAGATGCTTTTCAGTGTTCTCAGTTTTCCTCCCCCCTCTGGCTGCCAATGACTCTGCTGGGAATGGAAGAAGTCCCTGGGAAAAATTACAGTGTGTGTGGGACAGGTTTTACAGGCTGATTTTTGGCCACAGGAAAGGTGACTATGGATAGCTATGGGACAAAGTTTTCCTGACTGAAAGCCAGCAGTGTCTAGCGGACAGAAACTGCTTTGTCCATTTGCAGTGGCTCATTTCTAGCAGTGCCCCGGATGGTCAGTCCAATGTGGACTCCTGATGGGCTGGGGAGGCCTCACGTACTCGCTGAACTGGTCCTTGGCGGCCTGGAGGGTGCTCCGGGGCTGGGGGTAGTTGGAGACCTCGATTGAGGCCTGGGGACCACACAGCAGCTTGAACAGAAGGTTGTCCACAATGGCTAGGGCGGTGGCTGGAGAGTGGTATGCCTGGTTGTTGAACAGGGCAGTGACAACAGTTTTCTTTACTTCATCTTTGAAGGACACTGCCACCAGAAAGCGCTCGTTAAAGCCTCCGCCCTCCACAGAGGCCCTGAAAACCAGGAACTCTTCCAGGTCACCTGAGGAGTAAAGGTAGCATCAAGGATACAGGGTAGGGAAGCAGGAGCACCCACTGGTGTCCCAGTGTTATTCGTAGCACTGCCAAGCAGGGACTGCAGGGGCTCCTGCCTGGCCAGATGTACACCCCACCCCACAGTGCCAGCATGCGCCCCACTGCTTCTGTGTCATGCATTTCTTATGAAAGACATCTTTTTTTTTTTTTTTTTTCCTTTGGTACAGGGGATCAAACTCAGGACCTTGTGCTTGCCAGGCAGATACTTAGGCCACTGAGCTACATCCCTGGCCTGAAAGACATCATTTTTGCACACTTTTTCATCAATCATCTGCTAAGTGTCCATGCTTCTGGGCAGAATGTGAGAGGAAGCAAAAAATTAAAACCTTCTAGTACATTCTGTTCATCCACAGCACAACTGTTCTAGATGTTAGAGATAGTTTAGAGAGTGGTGGAAAACCTATGGCACAAATACCACTGCAGACTGTTATTACTGAAAGCTCTAAAAAGTTCACCATCACTAATGCAGTGTTTTAAAGTATTGGGAAAAAACACCATGTCACATGCAGACACACTGTAACCAGCATTGTAAACAAAGACATGGCAATACAAAGAACACTGAGCTTTTTGTATTTCAGTTACCAATGGCCCAGAAACCAGGGCAGTAGTAAATAAACGCCTCACTATGTCTCCCTAGCAAGGTACCCTGTGTCTCTGGGACAGTGATTTTGACTTGTCAACATTATCTTACCCCAGGGGACATTTGGTGATGTCTGAGGCATTTTTCTTCTCTCTCTCTCTCT